ATATGGAATATATCTGCCTACTGCTGTGTTGTTCCGAGCAGTTGGTCGGAAATTATGGATTGTATTAATGTGGTCGTTAAGACGTCGTATTGTTCCATGTTGTTGGCCGGAAATAGTGGTGGAGGAGGATGCTGATGGTGTTAGGTGACGAGTGGAATTTAGGATGCAAGGTGTATCGGAGAATATACATGTTGGACATCGAGCGACATTAGGCTACAAGGTGTGCCGAGGATCACATTATTGTATTCGAGTTGCACGAAGTTGCAGGGTGTGTCGAGGAGCACAAATTAGTTGTATTTTTGTCTTGGTTGTTGTGCATGTCGAGGGGCACGTAGTTTCCCTATCGCTTTTGCCCGTACATGTTATTTTGGTCGATACCCATGCTGTGTAAGTTGTTCTGAGTTCAGAAATTGCAGGTTGATGATTTATGTTGAGATGCCTCTAATTATGGGCAAATATTAAGTTGTAGGCTTATGGCCAATGTTGATTTATGTTGAATTTATGTTGAATTATTGTTGATGTTGCAGGCTTATGACCAATGTTGATTTATGTTGAATTTATGTTGAATTGTTGTTGATGTTGTAGGCTTATGGCTAACATTGATTTATGTTGAATTTATGTCGAATTGATGTTGATGTTGTAGGCTTATGGTCAACATTGATTTATGTTGAATTTATATGGAATTGTTGTTGATGTTGTAGGCTTATGGCCAATGTTGATTTATGTTGAGTTATTGTTTATTGTTGTTGTTGCTACATTCATGTTGTGTCGCATACATCCATATCAAGTTGGAGTTGATGCTCGTTAAGTTGGCCTGGATTGGAAAATATAAAGTTAAAGGCTTATGCCTTATTGATGCCTCTATTTATTGGCAAATTTTTAAGTTGGGAGTTCTGCTCCATTGGTACCACATGCATTTGCATAAAGACAAGTTGCATTCTGAGTCGTTGTGTGATTGATTCGATTATGCTTATGTTGCTAAAATCTGAGAAGTGGTGAATATGTATGAACTGATCCTAATGTTTTACTTATCATACGTTCTGTAATATTGTTCGATATCTCACCCCTTCTGTTTAAATGTTACCCCTATGTTGGTAACGTGCAAGTAATCTAGAGTGAAGGCGGTTTACCTTCAGTAGTTCGTGTCGGTGTCATTGCTCTAATACGTAACACTCCGGGGGATGAACGCTTGCTATTTTATTGTTATTATTCAGTTGTTGCACTTTAAGTTATTTTTCGTTAAATAACTATTATTTGAAGTTGTTTCAGTTGGATAAAGATGTTATATTCTTTAAGTTTAATATTTGATTTCGTTGCGTGGTTATGAAAGTTGTTGGTTTCAGAAGATTAATTTATGTTGTTGTTGGTTCATCCAAGTTTAATGTGTTGTATATCTGTAATGAATGTCGTTGTTTTAAGTTGTAATTCTAGCATCCTGATTCAGTTGTCGAAATTTTGTAACTCTGATTTTTATATTAATTGTCGGGTAGAATTTGGGTGTTACAGGAAGCCCCTTGAGAGTGAAATTTTTCATTGCATAAAAATGCCCCTAAGGCATAGTTGAATAAACTACTAAAGGCATGATTACAAAAATATGCCACATATGGCGAAAAAGAAACAACAAAACCTCCATCTCATTGAACTTCCTCATGAACCTTATGTTCCTCAGAAGCATCCTCCTGGTGAATCACCTCCTCTTGAAGAGCTTCTACGATAGCTTGTCACCCTTAATCTCTATCTTGACGCCCTTATCAAGGGAAGTTATTGTCTTATCATGGGAGGCACCCACATATTCATCCATTAGTTGGCTATCACTAATCACTTTGAATAGGTCCATGGAGCTCAAATCTAAACCATGATGAAGGAAGGCCATATTCTCCTATAATCGTTCAAAGTAAATGTCATAGGTATCCACTAGCTCATCCTTGAGCATAGACTCCTCCTCCTCCAATTTATTCTTTGACAAGAGGCCTTCTTTAAAGGATATATTCCATTTTTGATTAGAGATAGAGATATCTTGAGCCTTTGAATCTACTTCCCCAAGTTTATCCACCAAATCCTCATTCAATTTATTTAAAGTCTCTAGTACCGCTTGACCTATGGTGAGATTCCTTTGGGAGTCAACGAGCTTTGATCTCAACTCACTCTCAATCTGGGCATGTTTCTCCCGATAAATGCGCTCAATAAACAAGACCCTCAACAAGTGGTTCTCCTTTAGATCAAACTACTTGAGGGCTCCTTGTAAAATATGGCCTTATAGCCGCCTCAAAAATATTCATGGAATGGGAGATAAACGCCAATAAATTGTATGGCGTCAAATATGGTGTCATCCCATATGGAGATATGGGAAGGAAGATTGTTCCTTATGGGTGATGGACGCTTACCAGTATTATCGGCTTGAGGGATCTATATATCCTTTAAAGTAGAGGAGGAGCCCATATTATATTTATAAATTTTTGGGGTGTATGGCTTACAACGTGTTCAAGTCGTCTAGGCCACTCTGAGGATTATTTGTTCTTGGGCGCTCAATCTTCTTCTTGGCCAAACATTCCTTCCTTTTGGCCAAAGATATTTTTGACATTTTATCTGGGAAAAAAAGATAAGAGAAAATATGAGTAACCTGACAAACAAAAATTCCTAAGTAAGTTCAGATACAACATCAAACTTACTCAAATATTTGTTCATGTGATTATCATCCTCCTGGTCAAAGATGGTCATGGTACGGGAGTTCATGGGGTCAGATGTATTAAGAAGTTGGACTACCTCCATCTCTTTAGGTGTGAGATAGTAAAATTCATACCCAATGATCGCCACTATATTATTTGTCTAGGCTAGGGAGAAACAAGGGGCACCATCCATCCCGGTGGTGAGCATATAAATGCCATCTAAACCTATCACATTTACGAAATTGTATTTAAAAATTTTTAATGGTTAAAATACGATTTGAAAATGGATCTTCAGGAAATGGGCCTAAGGTCACCCAGCCCCCTCTAATGCATGTATTGGTGACATAATAGGATAAGAGCATCGTTATGGTATGATGAATCGCAAGCCACCAGAATATGATCTCAAACACCTAAATCAAGCTCTAGATATTAGACGATATCTAGGTCGGGACAATGTTCATTACCGTAAGAACCTCTACCTCAAATGGAAAAGGGAAACATGACTCATATGTTGCAGATAACATGAAGGTGAAGGCAAAAATAGGGGTTGAGGTAATCGTCCAAATCATCCATATTGGCTTAATGTATCATAGAACATGCCTCCGGGATGATTTCTTCATCACCACCTAAAGAGGAAAGGTTGACCTACTGCTAAAAGGAGGCTATCATTTCTTCACTGATATAACGGGGCTTGAAATCCTCGGCATCCTTGCTCTCATGGTCATAGGCAGCCATTAGCTTCTTATTTTCTGAGAAAACAAAATTGAAAAAAGGATTCACTATCAATACCACCGCTATCATCGCTATTGTAGCTAGTTGAACTCTCGCAACTATCGAACATGCCTAACTCCATTAATTTGTATTCAATTGTATTGTTAGGACACTTAGCATTCCTATAGCAATGATTCCACATGGAAATAAGCTCATTACAATTTGAATGCTCTACTAGGTTTTCTCTCTTCTATAAATCCCTAATTATCGCCATAAAAGGAAAAGAAAGAAGAAATGGTATTTTAGGTGTACCTGTAAATGGGGACTTGAGCTTGAGAAGGCTGAAGAATTCAGAAGAAGTTTTCAAGGACTTCGAAGATGAAAATGTGTGAAAAAGTAGAAGGGTTAGGGTTGAACCCTTTGATAGAGGTTTAAATAATAGGGGTGACCAAGGGTCTCTAGTTATGTTTACCATCATGCGCGAAACACGCTTCTAACATGGGTGGGGGATTAAGGCCAATTTAGCATCCCAATACTAAATCGATATTGATAACATTTATGCAGCACATGTGTTTCACCTTGAATGACATTTGGAGATTTCTCTTGCTTGACGTGTGAGGATTCACCTAATTGACACCTGGAGTTATATCTTAGGACATGCTTGAGAGACTCGCCCTAGGCATACTTAAGGAGAGGAAACCAAACTAAATCACTTTGCTCTTTCAAAGCCCTCATGCTTGAGAGACTGTGTATTGGTATATTTGTAAAGGACTCTTTCACCTGTATTTCCTAGCCTCTCCTTTATTGGAACAAGCGTCAGTCATTGGGTGATGGCGCCCATTTCCCATATCACTCGCCTTTCTATAAAGACACCGAGGTTATATGTCCTAGTTCATAATTGTATGGAAGAGAGAGTCAGATGGAGGTATCCACGTTCCCTTAAGAAACATGGGAAATAACTACGCTATTTTCACACTCCCGAGAATTGGAAACGTGAAATCTAATTTCTTGAGATCCAAGACTTAAACCCACGAGGTTCTTATAAATACCTCAATCCTGAAATTGAAAAGTCATTCAATCCGTTATGCAAAACACCACATATATAACTTCTCTCTATCCCTGTGTGGATTTGCTCCAACACGACAATAACCCTCAAAACCTCTAACAACCCTACACCACATGGCATTGTCACGTATTGTTCTATTAGCAAAATTACAAATTATAATAACTAATTTGAAATTAATATTGTATTAAATAATTAAGTAATTTTAAATTTCTAGTTTTTAGGCCATATATTTTTTAATAACAAATTAAACAATTAAAAAAATCTACAAACAATTTTAGGTTTCAAATAAACGATTCTAACAATAATTAATAGTTTTAATAGACTAAAAAACATTGTGCATTTGTAAGGATTACATTAAATTTATGAAAATTAAAAACTAAAGATGATATAAGTGTAGAAAATACTTAAGCAAGAAAAAAAAAATATTTTGTAATTACGCTTCATTAAAAGCAAATTATCCCAAAAACTAAAATCCATAAATATTATTGAGATTATAAGATCATGAAGAGTAAATAAGACTAGGGTTTAATGAAATAATTGGAATCTTAATAACGTACCTCCACTTTTGTTATGGTACATTCATTAGCATATTTAGTCGATATGGGAACTGCTGCAATTGCTCCACTTTCGTTTGTTGACAGTAATGGAAGTTGTTCAAACTAAAAAAATAACATAAACAATAGATATATTATTTCTTAAAAACAAAAGATTAAAGATATCTCGTTAAATCAATTTAATTGATAATTATACGTGTTAGAAATTATATGCAAATTACAATCGGTTGAGACATTGTGTAAAACAACAATTTGGATGGTATACACAAGAGAAGCTTTATGAGAGAATTAAGTCTAAATTTAACTTCTAAGAAAATATTAAAATCACTAAAGTTAATTATCGAAGATCAATTGTTGAATCTAAAATATGAAAATATTACGTTAAAAAATGAACGGGTTAATAATATGAAACATAAGAAATATTATCTCTGTTTTTTTATAAGAGATAAATTATTTTTTAAATTCATTAAATAGTTAATGTATTAAGTCTATAAAATAGACTAAATAAATTGATTATTTAATAAATACAAAAAATGATTTATCTCTTATAAAATAGAATAAAGATAATAGTATTTTTATGATTAATTATTTTCAAGAAATAATTTTGTTTTAATTTAATTAGACTCAAATAAAAACATAATTAAGATGACTCTTACATTCACTCTCTCAAAAATATATGTTTTTTTTAAAGGTTTTTAGGCATCCAAACAAAAAACATTTTGCTAATATTAAATAATAAGGTGAAATGTCATAAAACTTTGTTAAATAATAGAAAAATGTCATGTACCCACAACCAGTTGATTTTCACTAGAACTAAATTTTTATAATATGTAATTATTAATTATATTATTATTTTTAATAATTTTTTTTACAACTAATAAAAATAAAGGTTTGAAATTTCTTGTTTGTAAGCTATAGTTTTCTTTCTCTAAAAAGATAATTTCGAGATTATTCGAAACTCGAATCACTTAATCAAAAAACCAAATCACTCAAGTCGTTGAATCGCTCAAATTTAAATTTCAATTTTAAATTACTCGAATCATTCAAATTCATGTTTAAATCACTTCAACATTAAAATCAATTGTTCAAATCGCTTAATCATCGTTTCAGCTTTAATTATTTAATTCGCTCTTAACAATTTAAAACGTGTTTGTTTTAAGTCTTGATTCAGATATCAAGGACTTCATATTTAAATTCAAATTCTAATATAAGACTAAAATTACTCGAAATGATAAACTAATTGGATCTGATCATCAAATTTTAAGTCATTAAAATATAAATATGAAATCTTAGAATTTAGAATTTGGCTAAAAAATTTATGCCCTAAACAAAAATTAGAATGTTAAATAAGATATGAGTCTAGATACCATTCTAATCAAATGATTACAAAAGGATGCAAACTAGGCTTTCCCTCTAAAATTTGTAATGAATTATCCCATCATAGCATAATCTTACAAAACAAACAAAATTGCAATTAGACTTAGTTACCTGTTCATGCTGTTCAATCAATGATGAAGAAGGAAGCTTGTTTTGGTTGTCATTCGAACCACCTGAATCCATTTTTACAACTGCTTGTAAGCTTATAAGATCAAATAATTTCAAAGCCCCATTAACACCATATATATATATATATATATATATATATATATATATATATATATATATATATATATATATATATATATATATATATATATATATATATATATATATATATATATATATATATATATATATATATATATATATATATATATATATATATATAAAAAAGTACCTTTTATTTAATAACTTTTTATTAAAAATGATTTTATATATGTCTTTTCATTTAATAATATTTATGGGAGGGAGGATGAATACAAATTATAATTGAGATGTCTTGGTTGTCATATTTTATTTTTGAATTTTTTATAAAAATTTTTTTTTAATGAAAAATAGTAATGGTAAGTTTTAATAATATAAAATTTTCAAAAATTTCCATATATCAAGCAATTTATTATTATTATTATTATTATTATTATTATTATTATTATTATTATTATTATTATTATTATTATTATTATTATTAATTATTATTATTATTATCATTATTATTATTATCATTATTATTATTATTATTATGTATAAATTTTGACTGGTTATTAAATTTGTATATTATTATTAATAAATTAATTAATAGGGAATGAGTATAAATTATAATTGATATATATCTTGGTTGTCATATTTTATTTTTGAATTTTTTAATTAAAAAAAGTTTTTAATTGAAAAATAATAATATTTAATTTTAATAATATAAAATTTTCAATTTTTCATGTATCAAACAATTTATTTTTATTATTATTAAATATGTATAGACTTTGACTGATTATTAAAAATATATTATTATTATTATTATTTTTGAATCAAATCAAGATTGTATTAATTCAAAAAATAAATGAAGTACACGACGATCACAAGGATTCCATCTTCAAAAAGACAAGAAAAAAGGAAACTAAAATATCATAATCGTGGCTATATGCGTTCTAAGTTTTCTACATTACCATTCCCTATAAACAATTATGTTTTATAATGTTATCCACTATTTTATTTTTATCTATAGTATTACCGTAGCAAATACAATTACGGTATTGCCACACACCATAAAAGTCTCCGTGAAAGCTAGCTCCAGGATGATGGATTCTCCAACCTTTATCTTTGGTGCTATTGCTCAACCATATTAGTTCCTCATCTCAAAGTTGTGGAGTATGATTCACCATTTATATATATATATATATATATATATATATATATATATATATATATATATATATATATATATATATATATATATATATATATATATATATACCTTTTATTTAACAATATTTTCTAAAAATAATTTTATATATGTATTTTTATTTAATAATATTTATGGCAGGAAGGATGAATATAAATTATAATTGAGATGTCTTCGTTTTCATATTTTATTTTTAAATTTTTTAGTTAAAAAACTTTTTAATTGAAAAATAGTAATAGTCAAGTTTAATAATATAAAATTTTCAATTTCTATATATCAAGCAATTTATTTTAATTATTATTAATAATAAATATATATAAACTTTGACAGGTTATTAAATATGTATATTATTATTATTATTATTATTATTATTATTATTATTATTATTATTATTATTATTATTATTATTATTATTATTATTATTATTAGTATTAATTAATTAATTAATTAATTAATTAATAGGGGAGGATGAGTATAAATTACAGTTGATATATCTTGGTTGTCATATTTTATTTTAAATTTTTTTTATTAAAAAAAGTTTTTAATTGAAAAATAATAATAGTCAATTTTAATGATATAAAATTTTCAATTTTTCATATATCAAACAATTTATTTTTATTATTATTAAATATGTATAAACTTTGACTTGTTATTAAATAGGTTTATTATTATTATTATTATTATTATTATTATTATTATTATTATTATTATTATTATTATTATTATTATTATTATTATTATTATTATTATTATTATTATTATTATTATTATTATCATTATTATATTAATTATTAGAGTATAAAACTATAATTCAGGGAGAAATAGTATCTTCCCCATCTCTAAATATTGTTTGAAATTCATTAAAATATATGGAGAAGTTTTTATCAATTTTGATGAACAAGATTGTTATCACCACACAATGATAATAAAAGGAAAAGAAAATTAAAGAAGAAAAGAGATTAGGGTTTCTGCATAGTAATTATCTGCCTATAAACTGTGGAAAATCTTTATTCACTTTGAAACTGCAAAATTCTGTGTATACAAATTGTTAACAATATAGGGATTACTCCATCTATTTATAGTTTTAGGTTAGCTTTCTCCCTAAGTCAAAATCTAAAACACAAAACCCAAAATACCTATTTTGGATCTAAATCAAAATCTGTGTGTCATAATCTGTTTACAACACTTCGAAAACTACATACAACTTTGACAAACTAAGCTTTTCAACACACCTTGTGTCGAGCAACAACCTGCATCGACACAAGGAATTACACTTTCAACACACTATCTAATTCATTATGTCTACACTATCTACATTCATCATAGCTCTTAGTCTTCTGAACACTTTGACCTGCACTCCTTCGTCATGATGTCTACAATCTGTTTTTCAATTCTACAGTGTTCCATCTTCATATTCCCTTCAGCTACCTGTTCTCGAAGATAGTGGAACCTCATTTCGATGTTCTTGCTTCGACCATGTGCTATTGGATTCTTTGCCAGGTTGATAGCTGATATATTGTTGGTCTTCATGGTAATTATTCCATGATTCTTCCCTGTTATCTCTTCGACCAAGTTCACCATCCATGTTGTTTGACATGCACAAAGAGAAGCAGATATGTACTCTTCTTCGCACGATGATGATGTCATTATTGGTTCCTTTCTCAAACTCTAAGTAATTGGTGCACAACCTAGCAAAAACACATAACCAGTTATGGATTTTCGATCTTCAACATCACTACACCAACTTAAGTCGGTGTATCCTGTTAGGTCTGTGATTTTATGATTGACAATAACTTTGGTAAAACAAATAGTTGACAACAATTCTATCAACATGTTCTATTTGAGAAGAACATGTATTGCAGCCTAATATTGAGCAAGATGTCATGTTATTTTGACCAGCTGGTACAGTAGAGTCTGCTAGTGCTTATTTGACAAATGTTCTATCAGATGTTGTAACATATTGTAACAGAACACCATATCAGTACAGTTGGATATTATCCTTGAAGATTTGATTGAAAATATGAGATTCTGAAGGTTTTTAGGACTCATAACAGGTGCAACCAATCAAGGATTTTAAGGAACAATTGCATATTTGATTTATTTCATAAAAAAAGATCTTTAAGACTTTTTAGGAAATATTTGAAAGATTTATTTTGTTTCTATTTTTGTGGAGAAGATTTTGCAGGATTTAGAGAGGAAGATTATATTTGACTGAAGAGTCCAAGCCCATTTGCAGAAGTCTATATAAGGAGTCGTCCAAGACCTAGTTTTTTAAGAAGCATAGTTTTATTGTAAAACCTTGTGAAAAATAAGGGTTTAGGTTTTGATAGTTTCTCAGGTTCTCCGTGTGTTATTTGTACGTCCTCATGTATCTTTTGATGCATTTGAGTTGACTGATTGTTATTTGATTATAAAGTTATTGTTCTCCTCTAAGCTTTTAAGCAAAGAGTTGAATATTGTTCTTAGTGAAGTTTTTAAGCAAACTAAGTATTTGTAATTTGAAAGTGTATTATTCCTTTTTGGTTTCTTGAGACATTCCCTGGGATTGAGAATGTTTGATATCACTGCAGCGATTGGGAGTAAGATGGGTTCTCATATCTAGGAGGTGCATAGGTAGAAATTGCATTGGGTAGGGATTAAGTGAGAAGTGTAAACTGGGATTGTTTAGCTTCAAATTGATACTACTGATAGTGGATTTCCTTCCTGGCTTGGTATCCCCCAAAGTAGGTGAATTTACACCGAATTGGGTTAACAATTTATTGTGTTCTTTAAAATTCTGCAATTTACTTTTCTGCACAATCTTTCTATTTTAGCAAGTCTGTTTTCTGTCAGCAAATGTTATAACATTTGTTGTGACATTGTGTGTTGTTAATACATCAGTCTTGACTTTTGATATTGTGTGCGCCAGAATTTCAATTGGCATCAAGAGCATGCACCCTATTCTGTTTACTGGGTGAGATTAAGGGATATATTTTCTGGCACTATGGAGAAAGAAGAAGGATATAACAGTAGACATCTGTGTTGGATGGTTCAAACTATGACTAGTGGAGAGTCAGAATGGTAGCTCTTCTGAAATCTATGGACAACAAAGCATGGAAGGTTGTTTTGAAAGGTTGGGAACATGCTCTTATGAAGGACTGAGATGGGAAAGAATCCATAAAACACGAAGAAGAGTGGAATAAAAATGATGATAAAGAAGCCATTGGAAATTCCAAGGCTTTAAATGCTCTATTCAATGGAGTTGACAAAAATGTGTTCAGACTGATTAATACTTGTACTGTAGCCAAGGAAGCTTGGGAAATTCTTAAGACAACTTATGAAGGTACCCATAAAGTGAAGATCTCAATACTTCAGCTTCTCACTTCCAAATTTGAGAACTTAAAGAAGAATGATAATTAGATAATTTAGGAATATCAAATGAAGGTTCTTGAAATTGCTAGTGCATCAAGTGCCTTGGGAGAGAAGATGTCAGAAGTAAAGCTAATCAGAAAGATTCTTAGGTCCTTGCCTAGGAGATTTTACATGAAGGTCACAACAATTGAAGAAGCTCAAGACATTAATAAAATGAGAGTTGATGAACTTATTGGGCCACTTCAAACATTTGAATTGGCTATTGGTGATAAGGTTGAGAAAAAGAACAAAATCATAGCTCTTGTATCCAAAGCTGAAGATGATAAAGATCAAGCTAAGCTGGTAACTAATGAGGATTTGTCGAATACCATAGTTCTACTTGGGAAGAAATTCAATTGGGTATTAAAAAGATTGGACAGAAGAGGGAGACCAG